AAAAAATCACATAATGCACGCAAATGGTTCATGCACAGAGCGTTTATTGGACTAAACAGGCTATGTATGGCACTGTCTGGCGACGTGATACTAAATTGAGAGAACTATTGTCCACGTGGTGATACAGGAATTTTGCTCTTATAAAGCGCTGTTGCATCCAGTGTGATTACATTTTAGTCCAGTTAAGAGATTATCTTACAGCCAGCAAACACTACGCAGATTTTGTCTGCAACTTGTATGCAGCAAAGTGTTGTGGACATTGTTGTGCATACGCTATGCAGCACGTCTGTAAGGTTAAAACGTTCATGAATTATTCAAATTAGCTCAATAGAACCTTTCCCAAACGACCAAGATTGTGAAAATTAAATTGCACTCACAAACGTCAGCAAAATATCACTTATGTTACACACGCATTGCATTTATGTGTATCTATTGAGCCAGAAGAATGTATAAACGGATGACAAACGTGTTTTCCATGCTACTGTAGTATATGAAAGAATCATTTGGAAAAAAAACTTTAAAAAAAACATTCCCAAAATGCAGACAGAAACAACATTTTATGGACATTTTTAGGAATATGGCAAAAATAACGGACGCCATTGTGTACACAACTGACAAGTTGGAAATTGAGATTAACATACATGAAAATAGAATTAATTTATACATGATGTAAGAATCAATTATGTTTTACATACATTGGCCAGGGGATTTTGACGAGAAGTGTAAACAAGGGTATTTAATATATCTCCAACACATATTCAGATACGAAGCGTGTTTTGTGTAGATAAAACCTGATGAAAAAAACTCAAAAATACTGAAACTCTGAATGTTGTAATAGCGAACGATATCAATCATGCGATTTAATCAGTTATAGTATGAGGGTATGGTTCTGTGACGTTCAATTATAATCAAATAGTGAAAAATAATATATAATAAAATAGTTGTAATAGAACTAAGTCTCGCAATCTATCGTCACTGGTTAAAATATCACATTATTTTTGTTTCATGCTAGCACACCAGGTGTTTTATACAATACTATAATTTATGTAATTATTATGACCGTTACTCGATTTTTAATAATACGATCATAATTTTGTATTGAATTGAGAAATGTTATGAATACAACATGCGCTCTCGCCGAAATGTTGGGATACAGGTAGTTCGATTTATTTTCATTCACTACCGGTATTTCTAAAGTCTACCTAGACTAAATTATTGTCATTTATATTAGAATGTATTAGAATTAGTCACATCCGCACTCTGCATTGAACTTTTTTTATTGTTTACAGTCTTAAAAACACCATTTTTTCACAACTATAAAATGAAAAAGAAAAACTGCCTATCTCACATTGTTATGTATTTTAATGGGCTAGTCGAGTCTTCCACAAATACACATAATATCTGTTTAATTTATTTTGTTTTATATTTTCACTGAAATGTTAAAATTGATTTGCTCTAAAATGTGTGCGGTATTTCACTTGAATTCATTGAATTTTTACTTTCACTGTGTACAGGCATACTAAAACTGATGGAAGTGTTATATAGTAATTTAAAACACTTAATTACAGATATAATTCATTCATAAATTCGCCAACGTGCATAGTTGCATCAAGTAACAATAGATAGGGGAAGAAGGAAAGAGGAAGGACATGGCATATTTGACAGTGACTTGAGCCGAAAATTGAAAATGAACAAATGACAACACAATACATCAAAACACACTATCAACTTGTGAGTGTCGATAGGACTTGACTGACTATATACAAATTACTTTGTTGGACACTATTTCATCTTCATATTTTACAATCCATATCCTTATATTAAAATCTGAAATTTTGAGAATTTATTCAGTATCACAGTTCACTCCCAATCCAAATTGAAATATTGCCAGCAGAAATTATTAAATCCTGTCCATGATACCTTGTATTCACTGACATCATATTCAATGGCTAGCTGGCAGAATCTACAACAGTAATAAATAAACAGAAATCATTTTGATGCCATGTTTTCAGAAGACACCACCATATCAAATTTTGATTGTATTAATAAATGAACAACCAAGAAAGCAACAAATATCAGGCTGCATCCTTAAAACAGCGAGACGTTACAAGCAGTCATCGCACACATGAATTCCTCTCCCCTCCCAATACACCCTACAGCATGATTGGTTACTATACCATTTGAACATATGTAAAACAATATTAGCCACTTGTGATGTTATTTTACAAATTCAGGCTGTTGATCTTGTCATATATTTGTGGAACATAAACGGTATGTATGCAGTGAGGTTGGAGGAACTGGAATAAATATGGTAGCCCGGCGTCCGCGCCATACTCCGCGAACCAAATCCCATCCTACCCATTTGTTACGAATCATTGAAAAAAGATATAAATACTGTATCCTACGAATGGGGAATGTTTGATAGTAATAATGGTTGTACATCGCAATATTGCTTCATGGTTACCAGCACTAACAAGTCCGGGCTTAATCAGGCAGTTTCGGACTGAAGTTGTCTGACGATGAACGTTCAATACAGTGTAACTCACTCTTACTCCTAAGAGACATTTTTACTAGTGACAAGACTAAGCTACTCGAACTACGTTCCTTTTGATCTGCCAAACTGTGGAGTATAAATTGATGTAATTGATGAGATAATACGAGTATCCCTGAATTACACATGTGCAGTTGAATCTATGCATGTATACAAGGCAGACAACAAACAAGCTGCTACCTGATTAGTTTGACTGTTCGGTGTTAGAGTTAGGTAACCAACCAGACACAATCTAGTAAGCAGCTTCACATTGACACAGGTGGGTCTTGCACATTTTCTCTGATCAAATCATCAGCTTAATGTTTATCAACACAAAAAGTTACATAACATGGTCAAAACGGTAAAGTGCAACATTTTATTAATGGAAAGGTTCGGCAGACGATCTTTATTTTTCAGCTCATCCAAGTTACTTTACTGTTGGTTATTATAACGCAAAAAACTATAATTTTGAATATGCCATTTTGGAGTATTTTCACGCTTTATAGTACACATTTAATATAGTCATTGGATGGTGAGTGTGTGGTTTAAGTCAGATGATCGCCGCCTCCTCACATTTGCCATTGCCCGCATTGCCATTCCAAGGGACAGAAACCTCTCGGAGCTTGCAGTTATATATTACATAAAATGAAGCACACAATTAAATCGGAATTTGCTACGAGAAGCGAATCGTTAATGTACAGTGATGATACTGTGAAATTACTTCGAGCACACACGTGTTGGTTTCCGGAAATCATTAAAGAGATTCAACATGACCCTCGCTCGAAAGTACAAAACACAGATGCGTTTTAATCCATTTAAAATAGATTATAATAAATCAAACAATGTGATCTTATTTTTTTTATCAGCCATCAAAAACTTGGCATGGAGAATTGTCTGTATTACTGTTAACAGTACATATCCGAGTGTTCGTTTACTTTATGTGGTAAATAACAAAAGACAAAAGCCGAAAAAAGACAGTTGTACACTACATTCCACCACACTACATAGTCATTTAAAAGTTCAAGAACACCGAACAAATTACTGACAACGATAGTGTTATATGGATTTCATGTATTTTAAAAAAAAGTGGGCACATCCTTCTTTACATGTGGCATGTATATTCCCGCCATATATTTTGTTGCTTTATAATGCAATGGTTTCAGTTATAGATTTGTAGTCTGAATTGTAACATTCTAGCAATCTGAGATTATTTGTGAAATAGTGTTACTGCATTTAACCACAAGCTCATCTTTTAAGTGATATGGCTAGTCGTGTTCTACAAATTTGGGAGATGTATTCCTCGTAAGATATTGCTGTGAAGGTGTGGAATTATGATGATAGTAAAAATAAAACCTCATATCATATAAACTGGTGGTAAACTGGGCCATAGAATCATAGTATGTATCTAAGTATAAATCAGCAGAAGCAGATTCTGTCGCCTCCTTAAGTTAAACTACATCAAGTTGAACTGGATATATCAGTGCAATATACTCTTTAAGGTTAAGTTTTATGATCGAAAGTACATCACCAATATATTTGAATGTGAAATTGAAGGGTTTGGCTTCGTTTGTCGTGTTCAAAATCCCATTTCAAATGAATAAATCTTCCATGGAGCACAATTTGATCTTAACAAAGTAAGTAGCATCATATACAGCCATAATGTATTTGTGGCGACTAAAATAATTTTTTTTGACCAATTAAATATCAAAGAAATCTTGTGACGCCGAACTTAACTACATGAAACACTGTAATCTCAGCTCAGAAATCACTTCGTTATCAAAATTAATTGTTAATATCGGCTTTGTTGGTAAAATAAGCCTTTTCAAAACGTCAATATTAGATAATGTTTTAAAAGGGTTATATACTAAACTGCACAAAAGTTACGTAATTTTGACATCAATCATGTCGTCGCTAAAATATAATTAGGTACATAATTCGTGTTATTGGTGTAGAACATGTCAGAATTTACAAACTATTTTAAAAATGAAAATAACTAGAATACATCTAGGATAAAACAAATCGTTTGATGTACAATCGTCATCATTCTTTCCGAACTAAGATGTCGTCCTCCCCTGCATCAAGCATAATGTCCTCGCCTACAATTTCACAACATTCATCTCGTAGATATTTCAGCAAGTTTGGAATATCATCTACCGGCACTGAACTCCGAAAATTCAGGACCTGATGAATAAAGTCCAATAGTTTATTACCGTCTTCGGACTTTTCGTTGAAGCATTCGGTGATAGTCATTAGTACAGAGCGGTGCAAGCTTTCCATCGATGGATTCGGTACTACTTTAGTCAAAATATCTTTCACCATTCCTGCCCCGGGAAAAACCGTGGATTCGCCATACTTTGTATAACATTTTGAGAGGTTTGCCCTGCATTGTTCCCAGCCACCTAAATAATATATAAAATTATATTTGTATACATCTATTCTATAAAAATTACGTCGTGAAAAGTAATTAAATGCCGAAAAGGAACAAACACACGTATACTCCCATGTATGACACAAGGTAGCAATCACACCAATACAAATGTGTTGATATGTAATAAATACTGCAATACTGTATATAATATCTGATATAACCGTACACCAATTTCCACGTGTGACAGTGTATTCTGAAATGACACATTTTTCGCGAAATATAACACCAGACGTAATATTGAGACTCATGTTCCCATACTTTGCAACATCGTTGGTATAGCCAATACAATAATAGAACTATTCCAAACCAGGTGTTCCATTATATTCTCGTCTTATTTAAGTGATTTTGTTATAAACTTTTGTTACGCAGTTTCTGTGCGACTTACTCCAATTATATTCAATATGTTTTCTCCTCATAAAATTTATTCATGGTAAAACAAGAACCCTTTATATTTTATCAATGTGACTGTGAAACATGTATACAGAAACGTTGCCATGACATTGAACAACACAAGCTCATGAGTATCTCTATATTGAAAGTGGCAGACATGTTGTAACCAACATTCCGTGTTCAGCAATGTTCTCTTGAATAGTTAGTATTTGCATATCTACCTACCAGAAGAAGTTCTTAAGAAAAGTAATCCACCGGTATTCACCATGTTGTACAAATCAGGTACATCTTGCCCCGGGTCTCTGAACTCATACACTGAATTACATGCATGTATGAAGTCATATTTATCAGTTTTGCCGCCCTTATCCAAATAGGGATTAATTCCTTGTAAACGAAAATCGAATGTTACATTATCCCATCGGTTGGATTTCACAAGAGTTTTAAATTCTTGTACAGGTTTCTCTACAGGTTCGATAACACAGTAATATATTTTGCTATATTTCCCCACCAATGCATTATGAAGTGTTGATCAACGTTTCCTGGAATGAGACATAAGCAAACAAAAAGTATTATAAACATTTCTGTATGTGTGCGGTATTACAAGTCCTAACAAGAAGTACAAATACAACTTCACACATTTCATGAAGTCAAACATCTGACATGCATCTTCTGGTTGATCTGTGACGCGATGACCCGACAGTTGTAAAAATGGTATTCGTGCATCTATTAGGACTAGACAATCTTTCTTAAAATGAAACAAATTTATTGTACTGTGGAGAACTGTAGGTACACGGGTACATGTACTGTACACCGTTTTTTTTTTTGCTGCTAGAAATATTCACGATTGCAGGATTTGTGAAGAAAAAATATCATCGAAGTCACTGACACTCTGCATTATAGGACTCCAACGTCCATAGACATATTCACTGTTACGAAAATATATGGGTGTCGCAAAATACAGCAGTTTATAGTAATTATATGTTTAATGTTACATGTTGTTCTTATGGCTTTAGATGCGTGTTGTTATAGCTGTTGAGGACTCAATTATCACGTGTGTGCGGATGATGATTATCCTGTCTCAATTGAATACCTTGTGTCACAATGAGTGTCACAATAAAATTATTATTATAAGAACAAATAAAAATAGAATAAGGTGTCTAAAGTTCCAGAATTTGATTGTGAATACTGTTTGAGTTATTACAATGTAATTAAACCATCGGTTTTGAAGAAAACACAGGCTTACACGCAAAGTAGGTTGCCGATGTCATAATCGAAATCAGAACAAATTTTTGCACTTCTATTCTACGAAGGGGTGGAGGATATTGTTAAACAACATGGTATAAAAAAGCACAAACAACATATATGACAGCAACAGCTATATATGGGTTTGCCGTGGAGACCCATAGGCTAACCAAGATGTATGCAGCAGTGGTCTCAATTCAATGTATGGCTCTTTTGAATAATGGACTCATCAGTTGTTACTCAGAAGCCCTCTAGCCTTTTACGGCCAGTATAAAACTGAATAACTGATAAAACAGCAATTTGTTTATGAAACATGTATGTATATCTTATAAAACAAATCTTTGTAGTAATTTGTGGTAATGACATGACCAACAAAGTCAATCTTTTTCAGCGGAAATAACTAAATTGCTCACCAGACATTTCTCACTTACCATTCCCCGAACCAATAGAAAGTACGCGCAGTTCTCTGGAAGAATCAAAATGCAGTTTTGTTACAAGGTCTCGAGCATCATCTGCATATCCATTTTCTCTTGATTGTAAGCCATACTTCATCATGACTTGAAAACTCTCATGATATTTGTCCATATCGACTTTTAATGATGTAATTGATTTAGCCATTATCTTGACTTTGTTTATGTAGTACAGTAGTGTGAAATCTGTCCAACACAGAATAGATGATATATTGAAAGTGGGGTGTTTCATTAAAATCTAGGTCGTTTGAGATGGAAAAAGCTGCCTAATTTATGCAAATTAGGTACATTTACTAATTAATATACAATTAATATACGAGTATATCAATCCTAAACTAATCGCATAAGCACAGTTTCATTGAAATCAGGAGACAGGTTCTTGATATACCTTAGTGTACGTTTGTCTTTAGCTTAAACTAATTAAGTTCACCAATCTAATTACCATAGTACCAATATAATAGTAATATAAACTGCTTCTTATCACCCTCCTCTTTTACTAATCGGGGTTTGGGGATAATTAGTAGAAATGTGTGAGAGGTGCACACATTGTGCTTCATATTGTGCATTGAAGCCGTTTACCATGCTTTCAAACTATTGCATAAATTATGTGCTGCTGTTATGTTTAAGTTACCATTATTTATATTAACTGAATTGGGTGCATTTCGCCCAATTACCACTTCGTCCGAACGGTTTCGCCCGATTACCTGTTCGCCCGATAACCATTTCGCCCGATTGCCATTTCGCCCGATTACCAGTTCGCCTGATTCTTCGTATGTTTGGTATTTACGTGTAGTCAAAACAAGATAACGTAGAAGTCGAAATTTGTTTTTATAAGGTGACGAACGTGAAGTTTACAACGGGGTTGTAACGTAATTGTATGCCGTTGCGTTGCGTTTTATGCCATTTGTGTATCGGGAGGAAACAATGAGTTGAGGGACAGTCACATCAGTTGCAGTGTTTGCATCGGCAAGAAAACCCTGACTAAAATGCGATCATATGGTAGATTTTATGCATTTTACCAGATGTACATTTCGAATCGAAACCCCCAGTAGGCCTAGTGTGTAACATCGGTAAATCGGGCGAAAAGGAAAACGGGCGAACCGGTAATTGGGCGAACCGGTGATTGGGCGAACTGGTAATCAGGCGAAGGAGTTCGGGCGAAGTGGATTTCGGGCGAAGTGACTGTACCCCATATTAACTACGTGGTTTCGTATAAAACATTATTTATACTTTTCCAATCAAAACGGCGTGTTTTGTAAAGTTGTTTCAAGGGATGGGTTTTTAAATTTTCTTTATTTTGTTTTCGTGGTGAATTTGGTCTCCCGTACGGTTATTTTCGCCAATGGTCGGTGCCTGGCATGTCCATATATATTTAATAATAATTAAACCCAAGCTGATTCATTCATCCGCATTTTGGGGTTTAGTTTGTACTGAAGTACTGTTGAGTTTGAACACTAGTTTGTCATAAAAACATAAACATTGTTGCACTATTGTAAACATCGCATAGTCATTAGCGACGAAAAAATCATAATATCAATACTTTATATTTACTGTAATCGTCATTGGTGACTGCACGAGGTTCGTTTCGCTCGCTTCGCTCGGGTGTTACAAATAGTAAATGTTTCTGGTCAGCATGCACGCCACCAACAAATTGTGAGCTGATTTTTTTTCAGCTTATTTCTCCACTTCACAGCGCCCTCTCTCTTTCGACAAACAATTTGACTAAAAACATTTTTTGCGAGGCCACGGTTTTTTAAATTGGAGGTTTAAATTTAGATAAAGTTTCAAGCATGTTTCTTAGACATGATATATTATCGTATGGTTTACTGCCTTTGTAGAGAACAGATCATTTCCAATTGTAAACGTTCCTGGTCTTATGTCAATGTAAAGCCCAGTAATTGTTTATCATCCCCTACGTAACGTGTACATATAGGACTCGCGCTGAAACGCTTTCCGAGATGACAGTTTTTACATCAAATTACTATTTAAAGTGAAAATGGTTAAAGATGACTGAATGTCAAATGAGCCGCTCAGAGGTCAACTTGAGGTCAAATAAAGTTAATATTGCGCGAAATCTTTATATATTCTACACATATTTATGGACAAGACGAAATGAGTTCAGTGATCATTAATTTAATTCAATTTCCTCAATAGGTGGAAGGTCCCCTAATACTGCCTCAAGGTCTATACTAGGATATTGTGATAGGCAATTCAAGTAATGGCCTATAAGCGGCCTGTTTGACCTCACCTGATTCTTAGTTAACTAATTATCCTTTCGTTCACCCTTTAGGCGGCCTATTTGACCGTATTTGACCTCTAGGCGGCTTATTTGACATTCACTTGACGTCATTTTAACCTCTCGTTGACCTCTAAACGGCCTATTTGACCTCTCGTTGATCTCTAGGCGGCCAACTAGAATTCCGGATGACCTAATTTCACCTATAATTGACCTATAGGAGGCCATAGCAGAGGTCCACCGAAGGCACCTACACGCCCAGTATCGAAGCAATAAGACAATCTGTTTTAAGAAGAAGTCGAAACTAAAATTTCTTTACAAAATTCGCTATTATAGTGAATTACTGATATCTTCACGAAATGAACAAACTCGTGTACCTCAGTAACCCATAATTGATGACGTTTATAATAGAGCAATACAATGTACCCTATTTGATGAAAATCGGGGTAACCGTTCTCGAGATAAGGTACTTTGTAGCTTCAATTAGCATCTCTTACTTTTAGACAAAGGATGACACAACAAAGCACTACTGAATAGTAAAGACAACGGCACCATGTTGGATGAATAAGCACTAATTATTTAATTGGAGCTGAACTTAAACTACCATATCTACCAAATTTTCAACAAATGAACTTATATCAATGTTTATCTAATGTCATTAGAGGGCAACATATAGACCATCTGTTACCATGGAAACAGGCCATATTCAAATTTCATTTTAAATCATCTGTCAGTGTCAATAAAGATAAACAAGTTTTACTTTCGTTTATGTTGCATTCGTTTTTATTTCTATACAAATGCATTGGAAACGCCCTCATCGACCGGCTATGCATTCTACCAAGATTTGCTTATTTTTACACTATAATAATACTGATGAAACAAAAAGCATTGAGACGAATAAACAAATCTAAGATCTAACATTATAGCATAATATACAGCTTATTTTTTGGCAACTTAGAAAAGAAGTATGCATGGAAAAAAATAACTAGGAGCTGCCCGGAAAATTTGAAATCTCTGTGCATGATCGATTCATTTTTATGCCAAAATAACCAATAAATCATCTCCATTTTACAGCTGTGAATGGTCTAACATGTACAATTCGTTTTACTTTGCATTTACGCTGCATTTTCGACATGTTAAAAACAAAATAAACGTTGTCTTCGTACATGAAAATGGCCTCCATGTAAACAAAGTACTGGGATGGAGGTACCACTTTTAAAGTGGTCTTGTCGCACTCTCTAAATTGATGTCACACTCACAAAACCTAGATTTGTGACTATTAAAATATATTTTTTTTTTCAAATTATGAGTTATAGATATGCCAGAACGTTGTAAGTCGATACGAAAATTGCCGTTAAACATTTGTTTTCATTGCCGTTTCGCCAAATTTCGCCATTGCAAGTTAAATTAAGAAAATAAATGTGTGAACAATTATTTGATACTTATTTTGGTGTAAACAAGTAACTTTAATTAATTTCGAGCATTACAAATAGTTAAATTGAGAAAATAAATGTGTGAACAAATATTTAAATATTTGATACTTATTTTGGTGTAAACAAGTAACTTTTAATTAATTAATTACCAGCATTACAAATAGTTAAATTGAGAAAATAAATGTGTGAACAATTATTTGCTATTTTGGTGTAAGTAACTCATATTTTCCACAATTCCAAATTGTTAAATTGAAAGAACAATTGTCTCAATAAATATTTAACATTTTGGAATAAACAACTTGTATGATAAATTTCCTCCATTACGAGTTCTTAAATTGAGAAAATAAATGTATGGACAAATATTTAATGCTTATTTTTGTGTTCACAAGTCGCATTTAATTAATTTCTAGCATTACAAATAGTTAAATTGTGAAAATCTTTTTGAAAGGTTGTTAAATTCAAAGAACAAATGTCTCAACAAATATTTGAAACTTATTTTGATGTAAACAACTCTCGTTTGAATTATTTCCACCATTAAAACTTGTTAAATTGAGAGAATAAATGTGTGGAAAAATATTGGCCATATATTTGTGAGTAAATACCTGTCGTTTAATTAATTTCCACCTCTACAAGGTTGTTAATTTGAGAGAATAAATGTGTCGACAAATATCTGATACTTATTTAGGTGTAAATAACTTTGAAGAACTGATCAACTTCCACCAGTGCAAGTTGTTAAAGTAATGAAATAAATACTGATATCATTGGATATTTGATTTAATTGTGAAACTTTCTAACAGAGTGTTAACTGCTGACTTCAAACCCTCAATCAACAATTCCACAAACACCGTATAAATACCACAACACCACAGACGATATTCGTCTGTTGCCTGAATTGTTTTCGTAATATAGGAAACGCCATCGTGACACTTTAATATCTAGCAAAACTTACTTTGACTTGGGTCTTCTGTTTATCTCTTGTCACGATCTGTTTAATATGTAAATTATTTTATTATTTATTCATTCAGATTTGCATGGCGAAGTTTTGTGAGGTTTATTATTTTTTCGAGACGTTGTTTGTTTACATGTTATGGTTTTAGGGATTTCAGTTTATTTGATTTACGTGTTTACGATAGCTATGAGCGAGACTCAAACCCACTGCCTTTTCAAGCTAATTTTGTTTTATCTCGATGGCACGCTTGTGTACCACGCAACGACGTTGGTCGTTGAGTGGTTTTAATTGTGCTAACTACTTTAATGTTCCGATGAGTTGAGCGGAAAAGCCAAAATGATTGCTGGTTTCCGATTGCTTCGGTTCCGGTGAGTGTGTATGTGGTAGGATTCGAAACTTTGGCGTTTATATTAGGTAGTTTTTCATTCCCATGTTTGTTAAAATTATAGTGTTATCAGTTTACCGTCTATTTGCAGTCTCCTCTCGTCAACGTAAAACAAAAGGCTTTTATAGCCAAAGCAGACACCCTAGCTCAGTACAAATAAATATGCTAAATAGGGATAAATTGACAAAAGAACACAACATAAAGCGACCGAGGACAATATGACGTTACAATGAAACCCTAACTACAAATTACACAAATAATAAATACATACAATATACTCAAACGTAACCCGCCGTACTATGCAACTGGTTACGAACCAGTTGAGCAAGGCTAACCGAGTCGTGACCTCGATGTGGTTCGTAACTAGTCTTGTGATTGGTTGTTGACAAATGCTGAACAGGCCACGCCTTCAACTGTGCCGTGTGTTCGGGCAAACCGTTAGGAATTCCTAAATGGAGTCAATTTGTGTAGTTTTCTTGGTTTATTCTGCAGATATCGGTAAAATGTAGGCAAGGCTTTTGCGAAATTTGAAGGAGGAACTAATATTCTTCAACCTGGTATTCTTTTTAGATTTTATTTTTCATTCTTTTCGTCTGTTTTTTCGAGTTAAAAAAATGTGAGCTGGCTGGAGCCTTCATCCCTTGTCTATTTCTTACACTAGATACCAGCCGATACCCCCCCCCCCCCCGCTCATAGAGACTGCGTACTACAGTTGATTATAGTTCCTGGGCTCCCTGTGGTTCAGCGAGGATTTATTACCGTTATTATCATTATATTGTCACGTGATTTGTTCCACCTTATTTGTAATGTCTTAAGTATCTTTATTGTAATTTGTATACTAGTATACCAATTCGTATATACCGAGCAAACAATCACGATTGAAGGTCTTGTATTTTGTGATGTCACCAATTCGTGTGTAGGTACGGCTTCTGGAACTGTGCTCCTAGCTGCTAAAATTAAAATGAGTCGCGCAAATGCGCGCAAGTCAGATCAACCGGTTACTCAACTACGAATGTGAATCGACAGCGGAGTATAAACCGTGAACAGGCTCTAGACTGTCGTTACTTCAGTGACCTTCAATCACCGCTGTTGAATACTGCGTTCCTTTTCAGTGCATACACAACACAATAAAAAACAAAACTGTCCTGAATGGAAATGCATTTAAATTACTAATATGAATGCTGGAATATAGACGTACCAAGTGAGAGTCGAACCAGGATCTCTATCACCTCGCTAGTAGAGCCAACACATGTATTTGAGGTTGTCAGCGTCCTGTCTTGGTCGGTTTTGTTCTATTCCCCCGGATGTGCATCTGAAAGCGAGATTGGCCAGACATGCGCATATACATATGTTTATTTGACCACCATTTAGTTTCCGCCGTCGATTCACATTCAGCAGCTAGGTTATATACGGTCTATACATTATTATCTAGGAGTTTGACTTCAGGATGCGAAGCACACAATGAGCCTTCGTAGTTACTCCGAGGAGGTAGTAAAAGGGAAAAAGGTACTTTTCTCTTACATTTTCACGATGGCCATGGCTTAGCAATCTTGTCTATTGACACGCCACGTGGCACTGGCAGGTTGGCTTTTCACACGCCATGAAAGTTTGTTGCGGGTTGCATAGCCCGGTGGGAAGTGTTGAAAACTACACAAAAATTGCAGTAATATTGCGATAAACAGGAAAATACATACAAATATCAATTACTGTACATAACTAAGTTGATAAGTATTGTTATTGATTTTAAGAATGATGGCCACCTCGAATTGTAATACCCGAATTGTCTTAAAACGCGTATAATCACCTTAGATGAACTTTGATTTGAAACACGAGACTGTTTTTAAGTAGTTATAGGAAATAAGTAACGAATAAATAGTTGTAAATACATAGTTATGATGTCCCCCAGATTCACTTCACATATTTTAATTTAGTTAGAATAGTTATTAAAAATTGGAAAGAATCTTCTTATATGTTTATAAAATGACATAGCTGTGAATCATTTCAATGTTATCATAACCCCAGCTACAACGTGACCCACGAAATCGCCACCATATTATGTTGAGAAGAGACTATTGTGAACTGAGGTATCAGCCCAGATAATCTAATTTCAAAATCATTTTAACAATTCATACTTTTAGCAACAAATCCAAGAAATACATTTCATAGTTTGTAAGGCCTACTAACTGAAACACACAGTATGCATCCTCAAATGTCACAGTATGCATCCTCAAATCTTCAATCAATTATGTTGGTATAACCGTGTGATAGACCAGTGGGATTGTGTGTTTAAAGCCACACTAACAAATTCAGCCATTCAAGCTGCCACCCTTATTTTTAAAGCTACAATTATCACCGTCAGAGGGCACTCTTTTATTTTCTCACGATAATGATGTAATAGTACTGGAAGGTAATATATGGTGGTCGTTGCACCAAGTTCTATTTGACATGGCTCACATAGAACATATAAGCGGCGTGTAAAATACATGACGACCACGGCCATTTAATAGAACAGGATCCACACCATTCACAATGAGTTATTAATTATATCTCGGAATAACCCATAATCTATCATTTTATCATTGTAATCATGTTAATTAATATAAAACACAAAATGTTATAACAAACACCGTCATGCAATACAACTTTAAAATCCACATTACACAAGCAACAATAGCTCATAATAACCCTACATGAAGCTATTGCGACGAAAACCGATTTAGAATGGGTGTTTGGAAAATCAATGTGTTATTTTGGATGCTGGTGTAGTTCCTGATTTTTCCTCGGATATACTATTACATTGAAATATGACGCACTTCACAGAAGTGAATAAATCGCGGTTCAATAAATATATCCTTATAATTGACTCTAGATGGCGCTATGTCAATGAATGTCCGCACACACAGGGCATATACTGTACGTCGCAATATTTTAATGAATAAAAAAATGTCCAAATGTCCAAATTGTGTAGTTACCGATTGAATAAACAGCCATATAATGTCACGCATTTCAATTAGCTATCTGTCGAACTTTAAGATAAGATATCGGGGGTAGTGGGCTCTAAAAGTGCAAAAAAAAATTAAGTTCGGGTATAAGTGAAACCAAGTGGCGAAATAGATTAGTGTTTGTTGGCATATACGTCCAATCCCATGTATGGAGATTTTACAAGATTAGAATCCATGTATAGAAATTCTGCGACAGTTTTGAACAAACATATTTTATGATGTTATTCAGTTAATGCTAAAATCTTTTACTTTCGACAAATACACAATACACACATCAATTGTGTTATGTTCATTGTATGCACCTATTATTATGGTAAATTATATGCGTTTCATCGAATAGCAGATAATTGCTATAATTGGTTAAGTAAGTAAAATGTAGTGCAATGTACGTGGCTTAACAGACGTGCCATTTTTGCTGTGATTGGACAATCATGTTTAGTGCATTTAAGCAGGTGCTGCAATTATATATATATATATATATCTGTTTAATTTGTTTACAAGATTCCTCTCATTAGTAAATAGCGCCCTCACGCAACAATATTTAGAATGAGTGGTTGGTCAAAAGTTTGATGAGTCAGGTGCATCTATTGGCTAAGCTTGTTATACATAGATGCAAATGAGTATAGAAGCCATTAATATTGCAGGGTGTACTGGGAGGAGTGGAGGATTTCTTGTTTGTAATGACTGGTTGTAATGCGCTATCTCGTTGTTTTCAGAATGCAGCCTGATATTTGTTGCTTTCTTGGTTGTTCAATTATGGCTAAAATTTGTGTGGAGGGTGGAAGATGTGTTTATTGTTTGTTGAGTCATTATTTAGACGCCCTGCAGCTTGAAATGGTATGGTCCAAATCCAAATTCGATATGGCGGTGTTGAATATCTGTGCGATATGGCGGTGTCGTCTAAAAACATGGCATCAAAATGATTTCTGTTTATTTATTTACTGTTGTAGATCCTGAGAACTAGCCAGGTATTCTGAACAAGCTTTATGAATTATTGCTGGCAATATTCCAGTATGAATTGGAAGCAAACTGTGACACCATATCTAGTCGTTGTATTGTTATGCTTCTAAAATATTTTTTTCAAATGTCTTGAAACAGATTCAAATATAAGGATATGGATTGTAAAATATTAATATCATATATAGTGTCCAACACATTAATTTGTAAATGGTAAATTTATTTTAAAGAATTCAGTGGCAATATTATAATATAAAATAAAATAAATTAAATAGAAATATTATGTGTCTTTTTGTATGTGAAAACTTGGCTGGCCCACTCAAAAATATAAAGAAGCGAGGTCTGCAGTTAATTTTTAATTTTATTTTTTATTTGTGAAAAAAATGGTAGTTTACTGAGTGTAAACAATAACAGTGCAAGGCTAGTTCACCAACATGTATATTCTCTTGCTTGAGTGTGAAAGTACATGAGTTAGTGACTACCCATAATGTTTTTAAA